ACCTCTGAAGTGGTAGTGGTGGGAGCAGTCCTAGAGGACTGACCTTTAACCTGTGGAATTGATCCTATTTCTGGGTAGATTGTGTCAGAATTGAGTTGCATTGCAGGACATGCAGCAGGTTGAGAATTGCGTGTTGGCTTGGGGAACCGCTTCCTCTCACATTGGAATTTGGACCAGAGCCTATTTATCTCCCAAAAGCCCACCTCCATATACCGTCACAGTGGGGATTCAGGCTTTCACTTTTGATTTGGGGGAGGGGGACACAAACATTTGGTCCATAGTACAGGCAAGGAACCCTGGCTCAGAGGATTCTCTACTACAAAGCCTTTAATCAGCCCTTCTCAGCACCTCTCCATGGGGAGACTGTGATGCCTTTTCTATGTATTCAGAGTCCCAGATATTTACCCACTGCTGGCACTTACTCTTGATTTGTTTATCTATTAAATTGCACCACAAGTGGGCAACTGTTATCTTAAAGGACCAGAAAGTACAGTGCAAATGGTCTCCATCAGAACCATTCAATTCAGCCAGAGACAATGTGTAAATGAATGGACATGTTTGTGTTCCAATAAAACTTTTATGGACACTAAAATTTGTTTCATATAATTCTCATGGCACAAAATATTTTTTGTTTTAAAATTTTCAACCACTTGAAATTACCAAACCCATTTTTAGTGGGCTGTTCAAAACCAATCATGGGCCAGATTTGGCATGGACAATACTTTGTTGGTCTCTATGCTAGATCACAAGTAGTTCCGGGGTAGGAACTATGCATTTGTTTTCTCTCCCTTTATATAGCACCAGTATTGGATAGGTTGCTTATAAAATAAATAATGGCTAAATTAATATTCAAATCTGTAAGTGCTTTATATCCATATATGTGTTCTTAATATTCTTCCAAATTTTGAATTGGACAGCAGATGAATTTTCCAGTGGGAGAATTTAGGCCAGCCCCAGATTTGTGATCTGTCTAGCACAATTTTGTGGTGCTTTCCCCTATAATCCTGGTGTCCCCTAAATGAAGGCCAAGTACTGCCTGTGTTGAAGGTGTTCTTCACATACTCATGCTACTTTGAGATTGCAGAGTAGTGGGAATTTGCATATTTTCTACTGAGTTCAATGTGGCCTTAATCTGAAAACAGTGATACATGTTTCAGCAGAGAATTTTAGATACATACCAGAACAAAAAGGAGCATTCCTTCCTAACACTTTCTCTGCTTTATGCCCTTCACACTTACATGTCCACCAACAATAAACATTGTGAAAATTACAGATATTTTATATAGTGCTTATTCCCTAAAGAGGGTGATACACCACTTAAGATCAAAGGTAAATGGAGAGATTTTTTAAAAAATTGTCTTTAAGTTATAGAACCAACAGACTTCCACTCCAGCGGCTGTTTAAGAAGCAAGACGTTAATCACAACTTTAATACAACCACACTTTTGATAACAAGACAAGGTGACTATTAGTCATGCTCTACCACCTGCAAAATGCTGACTTGACTAATACGTATATTGGCTGAATATAAAAAAGGTTTTGGCATCTTGCTCAAGGTCATGGACAAATTTGAAATCTCATCAAGCTATGTTCATTGTTATGCAAATATACCAAACACTGTTTCACTTAGAGACATTTCAATAACCATGTAAATGGAAATCAGAAGGTAAAATAAAATATTGAATTCTGTGAACTTATTTTTCAAGATTGTTTTTCAACACATGATTATGATATCCTATCAATTCAGTTTAGACTTTTAAAATATATGTGTATATATACATATATATATACATATACAAATATATATATTATTACTGATTTCAGAGATTAAGGGAGAGAGAGAGAGAGAGAGAGACAGATAAAAGCATCAATGATAAGAGAGAATCATTGATCGGCTGCCTCCTGCACACCCTCTATTGGGGATGGAGCCTACAACCCAGGCATGTGCCCTGACCAGGAATAAAACCGTGACCTTCTGAATCATAGGTCGACGTTCAACCACTGAGCCACACCAGCAGGGCCAGTTTAGACTTTTTAATGTAACATTAGAAACCTAGGCTTACATTTTTTTAAAAAAATTGTATCATGTACATGACATCATGTACATAAAATATATCAATCAACAAATATACTCAATGCTCATTAAATGAACAGCTAATTTCTTGAGATGGGGGGACATTATAAAAAATGAGACCTTTTTTCTGAAGGAATGTACAAATGTATTTGAGGACACCTGATATAGGCATAGGAGAGATAATGAGCAATATCAGTAATGTGCTGAGTGCCTGGAGTGACACAGATAGAAAAAGCTAGAGTAGTCTTTAAAACAGAAAGGTTGTTCTTTAGGTGGGACCAGGGGTGAAGCCTGGCCTTGAAGTGTGAATTCAGACTTAAGATGCTACAGATAGCTTGGTCACAGCATGTGTGCGCGTGTACGTGTGTGTACACACACACACACACACACACACTGCCAAGCCTTTACTCTTATGCTCATTGCTTCTATTCAGTAACGCCCTCCTCACTTGACTCCTGAATTTCTGTGGCCTCTCCTTGGTGCTCATCACTCTTTGTTTGAAATTGTGCCTGCACCTGTTACCAGAACAATGTCCCTCACACAGAGCTTTCATCATGCTCTGCCCCCTGGTTTCTGCATAGTTATTTGGCAGCACCAGTGCTGGTCTGAATTATGCTTGACTCGGGTGTCTCTGAATCCAAGTTAGGCCCCTCCTAGCTTAGTGGATCTCAGCTCTCACTGTGATCATATTTATTGGTTGAAGAGCCTATAATAGAAACTTGTGTGTGTGTGTGTGTGTGTGTGTGTGTGTGTGTGTATGTGTGTATATATGTATATATATATATATACACATATATATATGGCTGCTAGGAGTATGCACTGGGAAGTCTTTCTGCGAGGCAAAACATTAAAATGTATGTATGCTTTACTTAGACATTCCATTTCGAATCATCCCTTTGAGGTACATTTTTAAAATATATAAAATAGCACACCATTTTTATTGACACTATTTTTAAAATAACAATATTATTTGGTGTATTTGTCCTTGGGAGGGTGGCATTTCTAAACTACAAATACCTAGAAACCATTAAGAATGATGATGGGGGGAAATGATGATGAGTATAGACAATTTTGATGTTTTTTGTTGTTTTAAGCATTAAATTTTTTTGATGTACCCATGGCATAGCCTTTAAAAATTTGGTCTTTTGTTTTGTCTTCTTAAGATCTCTGATAGCTTTTTTTTGTTCATTCAATTAATCCTTGCTTCATTATGACTGGCTTCCAGGACCTACTTCAAATCATGTAGCAACACTGTAGACATCTCAGCCATTTCAGTGTGTCCCACCTCTGCCTGGAGTCCCACTGCCCACACTTACCCCCAGCTGTGCTCTTGTTTATGTACTTTTCCCACCCAGTTACCTTCTGTCCATCTCTCTCCTAGCTCAAGTCCTATCATTTTGTAAGGTTCTACTTCTTATGAATTTTCTCCTGATTTTTGTAGTCCTTCATGGCTGTTGTCCAGTTCTCTGGTTTGTCCTAAGTAAGCAGGTATTCTGTAAGGAAGCCTGGGTTTAGCAGAGGGACCAGCATGTGGCTGGAGAACACTTGTGAGATGAGCTTTGCTTTTGATGAAGGTTAATTTTTAAAGGATGTTTGAAATGGAGCCATGTACACACCAGTCCTTGATGCTTTGTGTTGTTTTGTTTTTTTTATTTTATTTTTTAAATGTATTTTTATTGATTTCAGAGAGGAAGGGAGAGGGAGAGAGAAAAACATCAATGATGAGAGAGAATCATCGATTGGCTGCCTCCTGCACACCCCTCACTGGGGATGGAGCCCGCAACCCAGGTACATGCCCTTGACCGGAATCGAACCCAGGACCCCTCAGTTCGCAGGCCGATGCTCTATCCACTGAGCCAATCCAGCTAGGGCCGTTTTGTTTTTTTTTTCTACTTAACCCTGCACCTTTTTTTCCTCTAATGAAGAGCTGCCCAAGAGGGAAGGGATGTTCTAGTTTTAGCTTCAAATAATTTGCAAGGAAAAATTAGGTAAAGTTCAAAGATAGGGGAGTACAGTATTTCCTTCATTTCCCTCACAGTGGTCAGTGTGTTAGCTACTTCCAGCCCCTCCCTGCAAGGCATGCACATGGCCTAATTACTCTAACATTTTCTCCCATCCCTTACCCCCCAGATCTTGAACCATTGCATTGTCAGGGCTTAGTCTGAGAAGATGAAGATGAAAAATTACATTTCCTTATTTTTCTATATTCAGCTCATTAAACTGTATCCTGGCTCCCTTTAGTGGCCTTGCTCTCTAACCCCTGGTATGATACATGAATTGACTTTCTTTAGTTCATGTGGTAACTTAAAACATTTTGCTATGAAAATTTGCAAACATACATAAAAATAGAATAGTTAAATAAGCCTCTTGCATACCCATTAAACAGATTCAGTTACCAAGATTTTTAATGTACCTTCTTTTAAAATCGAAGTTTATGTTGATATATTGCTCTGTTACACTGTAACATTTAAAATTTGAGTCTTCATCAGGTGCTTAATAGATCAAATGGTGAAACTCTGTGGTGTTCAGTTTCAATATTATTAATTGTCAAGGACTGTGGTATATAAGAGTAAAAAGCAAAATTCAACAAACATACCTAATATAACTTTATGTGGTAACTTTAGGCACAGGTTATCATTTGTAAAATGAGAGTTGTGCAGAAATCATTGTATAAAATTATTTGTATTATATTAACTTTACCCCTTAGCATGAAAATTGAATTTTGCATCTACTTTTTACAATTAAAATATGGTCCTATGAGTCATGAAAATCTGGGGAATTACCAGGGAGTGTTATTACTTGTAAACTTCTCCATGCAATTTTCTTCATATATAGTTGTGAAATTACTAAATATTTTCAATGTGTACTTAGGCATTCTCACTCCTGAAGGACATAGAGCAATAGGAAACTTCCTCTTAGACATTAATATGAGTATGAAAAATTATGAAGTGCATTTTGCTCATAAGAAACTTCTTAAAATAGGACAGTGTGCTATTAGCTTTGAATGAAGGTGAGTCATCTTCGTACCGCTCATGAATAACTCCTCTCTTTTGCAGGATACAATTCCCAGTTAAAATTCTATAATTAATTTTTCCCTTTGTTTTCTGTTTCTCCAGCTCTTGTAAATGTGAAGCTCTGGGCTATTGATCGACAATGTTTCCAAACAATAATGATGAGGACAGGACTCATCAAGCATACCGAGTATATGGAATTTCTAAAAAGGTAGGATGCTTTCTTTTCTCTTTCTGAGGCCATTTAATGTCTTCACAACCCTCTTGTCTGAAATGAAGCCCATGGAAGCCTTTTTGCCTACATCTTGGTCTTCGTGGGCCACACATTTGTGGAAGTGCAAGACTTTGCACTGGCTTCTTGATATTTCTGGTGCTTATTTTCAATAATATGTGGTTAAGTCATGACTTGAGAGTTTCATTCAACATTCTCTCATAGAGGAGTGCAGCAAAGGAGAGAAGAGAAACAAATGAGAATGTGCTTGAACAAAAAGGAATCGGGTCCGTCTTTAATATGTATCAGTTAATATATTCTCCGTGCCGCTTCTAAGGCAACCCACACTGTAAGACCAAGTCAGCTCTTGTGTGAGTTTCCACATGAAAGGTCAGGCGACTAAGATGGGAAAGTTCCAAAAAGAAGCTTATTATCCTTTAATCTGGAGTTCAATTTCCCAAATTAAATTCATTTTATGTTGCAGTTCTGAAATATAATACTTCCCTTGACGTTATACATTATCATAATAACTCAATATAGTATGGGAACTGGAATAAAAAATAGCTTTTCATTTCTTAGTAATACACTGAGATTCACTGAAATGCATTCCTTTGTCTCTCGGGTTATTTTAAAGAAAATACTATTTTGTTATTAAAAAGAATATTGACAACTCTGACTTCACAAATAAAGTTGTATTGTTTTTCTTTTGAAAACAATATGTAAGCTAAAAGGAGGTGAATCACCAATTAAGATTTCATTTGGGAGCTAGAATATTAAAGTAGATCTTTTATATTTTTATTTTTGGGCAAAGTAATAATTTAAATGGAGTTTAAAAAATCAAGTTTACATTTTATTTCAGTGATACACCTGAAGCAATATCTATTTAATTTTTTTAAGATGCAATTTTAATATTCTGTATTTTAGGATTTCTTGTGGTTAACTTATTTTATTTCTGATGTTTATATATTTTTTATTTTCACATAAAATTTATTCTTTATATTCCCTCTAAAGAGGCAATAAAATTCTAATTTGATGTCAAGTAATAATATATTGAAATATTACTCTATCAATAGGTTGTTGGGATTTTTTCCTCAATGAGATTGGATGAAACATTTAGGAGAAGGGGAAATGTAAATTTCTGTTTGGAGTTTAGTATAGTGTGCAAGGAAATTAAATTATTCGGGTGCTGTGTGCATGTGTTGGTGTATATGTATGTGTGTGTGTGTGTTTGTGTGAGTGTGAATGTCTATGGAGAGAAAGTGAGAGATATGAATACTCATTTTTAAGTCTTAAAGTGCAAGAATTGATTTCTTCTGATGCAGCCCTAATAGAGGAAGATCCCCATTGGTAATCAGTGAAATAGGACAGAGCCCATTGTTTGTCTCATGTACCTTAGCATTGGGAGTTTTTGAAGTTAGTTTTAGCTTCCACAAGTTTTTTTTTTCACAAGGAAATTTAAAGAGTAACAGAATTGCATTGTCTAACTCCAATAAAAACATTTTTTAGAGGCACTATTTCAGGAAATGGAAATTGGAGATGTATCTCTCTTTTTTAAAAAAATAGTTTATTGATTTCAGAGAGAGGAAGGGAGAGGGAGAGAGAGATAAAAACATCAACTATGAGAGAGAATCATTGATTGGCTGCCTCCTGCATGCCCCCTATTGGGGATCAAGCCAGCAACCAGGGTATATTCTTTGACCAGGAATCGAACCAGTGACCTCTTGATTCCTGGGTCAATGCTCAACCACTGAGCCACACCTGGCTGAGTGGAGATGTATCTCTTTTTAAAATTGACCCTAGATATTGTTTTATTTTTATATTATTCTCAGAGCTGCCTAAATTTGTGTTATTTTGACAATTCAAACCTTAAACAATAAAAGTTAGTTCCTTGGAGTGAACATTTCTTGTTGGTCAGCTTAGAGCAGGTAGAATGTAACTGGTTGAATTAAAAACAGGTAGGCACTGCCTTTGATGTCACTTTCCATCTGGCTCCTGTGTAAAACACTAAGTCCACATCATTTGTGAATGCACCCAGGGCAGGAAGTCCATAGAAGTGACACAACGGCCATCATTGCCTGGAACCAGCTTTAATCTTCCCTAATTTATGCCTGTGACCCACTGGTATAACCCTTCAATGGCTCACAGGTCCTGTTGAATATGGATGGTCTCATTAGCTAGATATGCAAGCCGGAGCTCCCACAGCCAGTGCCAGCCTGCTTTGTTAGTCTCGTTTCTCCTTTCCTCGGGCAAACCAAACAGTTCCACGTGCCCAGCCAGTCCCTGTGCCCTTATATAGCACACTGCCTCTATTGCCTTTTCCATACCGCCTCCCCTCCGCCCAATGTCAATGTTCAAATCTCCCTTCTTTTTAGAGCCAAATAAAAGCTGTCTCTTCCAGGGACAGTGACCTCATTCCACCAAGAAATAACCTCTACCGCCTCTGGAGCTTCATCTCTGCCATGGCTCTTGTTTTCTGCTTTGTTTATTACCATCTAACTACTAAACTTATTTCTACTTCCAGATGATCACGTTTTCCTGACTAGAGCTCTGAAGTGTCTTGGTGTTCTGTGGTGCAGAACTTATTGCTTTGCAGATACGTAGTTGGTAGGATAGTAAGTGCAGGATCAGTACATAGTTTGCAGTGCCCAGTGCAAACTAAAAATTCAGGGCTCCTTTTTTCAAAAATTTTAAAAAATGATAAGGCATTGACAGCATAGGATTAAAGCAAGTGTAAGAATCTTCTAAGTGTGGACTTTGCACCACTGCACAAGTTTACACCCACAATGCTGAGATAGGAAATAATATTCATTCTTCCTTCACATTTCCAGTTAACTATACTTGCTATCATTTATTTTGTAAGGCTGTTAAGAGAAGGCATAATATCTCCAAAAGAAATAAATGTTAGATATTGTCTAAAACTAAGATGAACAAAATTAATTCAATTTTCTCCCATAACTTTAGCATTGTATCTACTTCCCCATTTGTTATTGATTTTTTAAAAAGTGTGCTTACCACTCTTTCATGTGAAATTAAAAAAAAATGTTATATAGCCCTGTCCAGTTTGGCTCAGTGGATAGAGCATCAACCTTTGGACTTAAGGTCTTGGGTTTGATTCCGGTCAAGGGTACATACCTCTGTTGTAGGCTCGATCCCCAGCCCCGGTTGGGGGGCACATGTGGGAGGCAACCAATTGATGTGTCTCTCTCACATCAATGTTTCTCTCTCTCTGTCTCTCCTCCTCCCTTCCCCTCTCTCTAAAAATCAATGGAAAAATGTCCTCAGGGAGGATTAACAAAAATAAATAAATAAATAAAATGTTATGTAGTCAAGTCAATAAACTTTCCTTTATAGCTTCATGTTTAGAAAGGCGAACATCCTACCACTGTAAAAAATATAGACTTAATACTTTAAAGTTCTCTGTAGCAATCTGTATGTAAATGAGAGTATGTGTTTTTCTCTTATGCACTTCCTAAATACAACTTTCACTTGAATTTTTCTACCAATATCATATACTTTTTATTTTGTTAAAGAGTTGAATCATGTGACACTATCAGAAAAATAAACACTCTAGCAAATGCTATTACAAGTCATCAGAATTCTTTGCAGTAGGGGCCTTTGTTATGCCTGGGATGCCTTCCTAACTGAGGAATTTCAGGGTCCGGCCAAAAGGACAACAATCCTATATTACTGCTCATCTCCCTGCCCCACGCTTTCTTAGTATTTTTCTAACTAAGCAGTAAGTTTGGTTAGAAAGAGGAAAGGGGGCACACCAGGCATATTAATATCCTGCCAAAATGGGAGGATTTTTCTTGATTGTCAAAGTAGGTTTTTATTTTCAGTCCAGTGTGTTTACCCATTTTGCAACTACCAGTCATGTGGTCTGGCCCCCTCTTTACTATGAAATGCCACATCAAACTGTGATTCTGGTTCTTCGATCCTATTTAGTCATTTGTCTTTTGTGCCTATATTTCACATTCCCTGATGTAAACGCAGATGTTCCTGTGCAAGCATAGCGAAAAATATTCAAAGGGCATTGCTATTAAGTAAGCCATTATTGCTTCAGGTCCAGTAGTGATTTTCCCAGTTGCCAGCATTTTCCATCTTCTTTGGCTACTGAAAAATCCTTTTGTTTTTAAGATGGATTTTGAAAAGCGAGCCAAATAACTGCCAGAGTTAATTTGTGTTGCTTTTGTCTGAACATATTCTCTGTGCTGCTGTTGGCACTGGCATCTATACCCAAAAGAGAATTGGAATGCAGCTGTGTGACCACTGAGATGTGCTTATAGGAACTGGGTTTTCTGCTGGCTGAAGACTATGACAATGATGACAATGATGACAATGATGATGAGCCTCTATTTATATTGCTTGCCTCGCTGACAAATTGGAGACAGAGCAAGGACTTTTTGGAGTATAAGCTACTCAAGTGATCCTGTTGACCTTTAGTAAACCTTTTCTTGATCCATTAAGAAACCTTTTGGGCCTGGCCGGTGTGGCTCAGTGGTTGAATGTCAACCTATGAATCAGGAGGTTGCTGGTTCGATTACCAGTCAGGACGCATGCCTGGGTTGCAGACTTGATCCCCAGTAGGGGGCATGCGGGAGGCAGTGGATCAATGATTCTCTCTCATCATTGATTTTTCTATATCTCTCTCCTTCTGAAATCAATAATAATATATTTAAAGAAATAAATCTTTTGGTAAGGCAGATAATGCTGATGTCATCCTACATAAAACCATTCCGTGACTTTGTATTACTCCTAAGCATAAAGCCTAGGTCGATAGCATTGTCTTCAAAGCCCTTCCTCACCTGGGTACTGCTGACCTCCCAGATTCATCTTGTTGTCTATCTTCTTCCTTGATCTCTCATTGTTCCAGTCACATGGTGTTGTGCCCAGATTTCAAGATTCCCAAGAAACCACCAGGGAGCCAATTCGATGCAAAAGCATAAGAATCTGTATTTCAAGTTAACTTGGGCTCCCCATCCACCAGGCTCACCGACACC